TCCCACACATACTCAACGGGATACCGTTTTCTTGGTTATGATGCAGCGACAAGACAACTGACAAGAAGCGGGACCATTCGAACCTTGTAGATACGAAGAGTAACAGGGTTTCGACGAATCTTCTGAGATGCCATTGTTTGCGAGACCTTCGCTTCCTATGAAGGTACATGATGCTCTCTTCTTATCCATCATGTAAGTAGAGTTACATTTTTTGCCAATTGTCTTCTCGCTACACTAAAGCAAAGAAAATCTACAAGTTGTCTCACCCTGGTTTCGCAACTTGGTCGTATTGGCAAGAAGAAGAAGAAGAAGAGGAATGCATCTTGTCCAGACTCCATAGCATGTATGATCATTTCCCGAGTCGGATAGTGGACTCCAGCCTTGACGACAAGATGGCCACAGGACCAATCCACTTTTCCCTTTTTTCACCATTTTAACTTTACTTTTACCCCGCATTAGAATGGCCATGCTGCCTACGAGTTTACTTCTCTGCTGAGTGCATTTGGTTCTTTTGCTGAAAATAATTTACTCCATTTAATTTCATAACTCGCGACGAGCGTAATCGTGCTGCCGTGGCAACTATAAATCAGTAGGCCAAACAAGTCTACGCCGAAAGCTGGCTGCTCTGCTGATGTGCCTTTGTGCGTGTGTATGTGTGTATGGGTGTGTGTGTGTTTATACATAACCGGTCTCCGTTGCTTCGGGTTGGCTGTAGTGGCAGGGGACCTCTGCTATGATGTGATTTCGTTTCGTTTCGTTTTCTTCTTCACTTTCACCTTTTCCTTCGCCTATCGCAGGTGCGAGGTCCCCTTTTGGCACAGAAGCGGCATCGGCCATTGCCGGTGTCGGATGGATGGGCAAAATCGAGCGGGACTCGCCGCCGAGGGAGGCGATTTCGACGGAAAGAAATTGGATGTCATCGCTTTTTGAAAACCCTGACCGGCCTGCTTGGCTGCCGCCTCACTCTTGTCTGCTGCCGAGGTCGAGGTCTGAAGGAGACGAGACGCCAAAGCTGGGATATCGGAATCGAGTTGTCAGGCCAACTGGTACCATTGCATTTCTGGTCGAGAGGGAACAGGAAACCACTTGAACTCGGCTTCCCTCTCAATTTATTCTCCGACCACAACTCGAGCCTGTATCAGGCGTTGTCGTTCGCCACGAAGAAGAGGTTGTTTTGAGAGGCATCGCTCGGTTCACCATTGCGACGCTCACTGCCATTTCGCGTGAAAGTGTACGATGAAGAGATGCCCGAAGGTCGAACCCACCAGAAGACTTGAGGTCTGCGAACTCGTGTGTGGAAAATGAATTGTGAGAATGACTGTGACGGGGATTCGCGGTGGCAGGGACTCGTCAAGTGGCCCCACCAGAAGCCGATGAATAGTTTTGACTGGAGGAGAGAACAAAGAAGACTCTGCTTCTCCATTCTGTTGCTACGATGAATCTATGCTGAGCATCGGTCGGTCATGTGACACGCATCGTCAGAGTCGAGCCGTCAAAACAGGGCGATTCGGACGAAAAGCCAGTTCAAAGGGATCCGTGAAACAACCGAGTGGAGACGCTTTGGCTGCACGACGAACTACTCGCTTCTGCAAGCGAGCTCAACTTGAATGACATCTTCAAAGCGATGAACTAACATTTCCGCCGGATATATGAAGACCTCTTGTATGGTCGCAGTCTCCTTTCGATGTATAGAATTGGGTTGACCTCGTTGTCGCAAATTGGTCTTGTTGTCAGGGTGACTATGTAGAACGCACCTAGTCTGAAGTCGTCTGCCAGAGTAGTTGTCATGATTCCCAGCATCGGACAGTTGACTTGGTACATTCTCAAACGTTTCGCCGGCATCATCAGAGAGTTTTGTGATTCTCTGATGCTGGGAATCATGACAACTATAATGGCTGATGAGTTCGGACGATATCTGCCCCACGAAGGATGAAAGTCCAACGCAGATTCATTGAAGTTGCAGGAGGATGAGCCGAGGACGTGGTATCGCAATTGAACTGCTTCTACTCTTAAGCAATTCTTACTCGGTTTCCGATGAGGACAGCTCACGAATTCAGTCCAACCGACAACTCTTCCTTCCAACTGAAGAGTCATATTTGAAGGAAAGACGGGCAAGGAAGAAAATATGTCGACACGGAACGGATCTGGTGGATGAGAGTTTTGTGCTGAATCCGGATTCTTCTTTCACTTCTTGGCCTAGACGATACACTTCAGGCGTTTGATTAGGCTGCTGCATTCCGTGAACGACTTTTTGTTTAATTCACTTTCGTTTCGTTTGAAAATATGTTGTTAAGACTTGGCCTGAGTGTGTGCATACGAAGAGCAACTGAGATTTGATGAATCTCCTGAGATAGCATTGTTGGGGGTCCATGATTTCGTATGAAAGTGCATGAAGGAGAGACTCGTTGGTCGATCTCACCGGAAGAGGACGGCTGAGTCCCGTTGTACTGCATCGGTTTTTTCTTTAGTACGACCTTCAAGTTGACGCAGTTCACGAGACCTATTCACTCGTTTCAGGTAGAAACGGGTTGAACTTTTGTCCATCATCCAATGGGCATCGTCAGAAATAGAGCTCATTCTGGTAAAAGTCTCAAATTAGCACTAGGACACGAAGATGCACGAAGACTCATCCCGTTTCACCCAAAACGAGGAAGGAGGTCTCTTTTCGTTGTATAGAAGTTGTTTGACCTTTTTTTCGCAACTTGGTCATGTTGGTAGGAAGACTTAGAGGAACGCACCTTGTCCGGAGTCCAATGTATGCATAATCATTTCCAAAGTCGGACCATGGGTGTGGTACATTCCCAGACGTCTCGCCGGCATCGTCAGTGAGTTTCACCATTCGTAGCACCATATTACAACTCGTCGAAGAGACAAGTGAAGCCGATCCTTTCACCAAACAGTTATGATATTTCCCCTTCTGCCATGGCCTATTCACATTTTCTATATCCTCAAATCACACCTTCACTGTCACCATTTTTTACTTGCTTAATTAAATGTGGTACAGTGTGCCCTTCTTAGCGGCTTTCTTCAGAACTCTCCGCACTCCACGCTGGCCCTCTCACCCCCCTTCATCCTTGTGCTGGGAGTGTGGATCATAGTCTGCCATGTTGTTACGCAGTCCTCCTTCCCTAGTTCCTACCACAGTCTCTCTCTTCCCCAATGGGCGTCATCAGAAATGGAGCTCATTCTGGTAAAAGTCTCAAATTAGCACTAAGGCACGAAGATGCACGAAGACTCATCCCGTTTCACCCAAAACGAGGAAGGAGGTCTCGTGGATTGTACCAACCTGAACGTTCTATTAAAGCCAAACGAC